TGTCTGAGAAATTTAGAGATTAAGAAACGAGATAATTATAGGAAGAAAATACGCGAGACAGGAGTTTCCGAAGGAGGAAAATAGTAATATCAAGTATATCTGTGAAAGAATTAGACCTGAAAGTCACCTAAAATTGTAACTTTATCTATGACGGTCCTGGTAAGTAACTTCGCGTGGATCTAGTAACTGCTCCACAAGTCCTGTGTTTGCGAGTGAACAAATGCGTGTATGCTGCAGAAGCAACTAGGAAAAGAGCAGTTTATCGAGACAGCTAGACGAACCTCATAGTGGTTTTGACTTTGAATCATTTCGTTTGTCCTAAATAGTACTCAGATTGTCAACCTATGAATGGAGACAAATTTTATTCCTTCTGGAATGATTAAGTATCCTCATTTGGTGTCCAAAACTGGATTTTTTCCTTTAAATGTTGGTTGGTCAACGAGGACACGTTGAATTCGTAGCGCGCACGAAGACCTAACGTCCGAGAGTAATTGATTTTGTCCAATGAATTAACTGCTGAATTATGTAAATCAATCAAAGACTCTACTGGTTCACAGTCAGGTTCTAACCGTCCGATTCAAGCAGTTACATAAACCTCCGCCTATAATTAATTTTCATGGGAATGTCGGATCTACCGACTAACTAAAAATGCATGCTGGTAAGGTTTACTTACGAAATTATCAAAGCTGATGGGAATCCAGCTGCCATCTCCTGTCTTGAAAGGAGGAGATAATTAGGATCCATCCAATCGCATTACTACTACTACTACTGCTACTATCAACGAAAATGGAAGGACCATTAAACGAACAAATGAACATATGGATAAGAACTCCATCCCTCATGAATCACAGCACACGTATAAGAAAGGCAGCTCGTCAGCATCCCATCTTCTCATAGCATGAGACAGCTAGACAACCTGTCGGTACCAAAACACCCGTTTATATAGTATTCCTTGACTTCGCGAAAGCTTTCCACGTAGAACCCGAAGCGCACTTAATAGTTAAGGCTTTGAAGATGGGCTTACCTGATCCACTTCTCGCTAGGCTCAAAAACTATTCATGGAACAGGAAGTTGTGTACCACGATAAACAAACTGCATGCAAGCTGGTGTGTTTCAAAGTCAAGTATTTCACAGGAAACCATTTTCTTCTTCGAAATATTTATTGATGACTTGTTAGTTGAGGTTGCAGAATCCTTTTTGAATGTTTTGTTTTTTGGAAAATCCCTCCATGATTACATATTTTTGTTATGACGTGACGGACTTTTTCTGTTGACGTTTTTGGTATTTTATTTGATTCCAATTTGAGATTTTATCATTGTATATTGTTATTCTTTCTATATTTTGTACTTATATTGAAGACTTATTTAAAACTGAGAACGCAGATTTTAATGATCCTGAGGAATTGACGAATTTGGCTATTAAAATGCAGAATGCTGCTTTAACCTTAGAACAGCTAAATTGTGCAACGGAACTTCATTCCATGGTTACTTTAGAACGAGTAGTCAGGCTCTTACCTCGTCGAATGCAAGCCCAGTGGGCAGAGCTGGGAATCAAGTGGGACGAAGAGGAGAGAGAGCCTAATTTCAATGATTTGACGGAATTCATTATGTCTTGCGCTAAGATAGCTAGTAGTAGGTTCGGAAGATTAGCTTATCGGGCTAAAACAGGACATAATACGGAAGCTACTAGTGGTCTGCGTGCGAGACATGAGGATTCTTCGTTTCTATCTAACGCACGCCCGGAAGATAAGAGAGTTGTCAATTATATCACGAAAGCATACGCTGATGAAGGACGAGTATGTGACCATAACGATGTAAAACCTCTTGATGCGTGTCCTAGTAAGAAGCCGGTTGGTGTAACAGATAAGATGGCTTTTCTAAGTATAGAAAAGAAAGAAAAAGGTGAAAAGTGTAGGCATCAAGATGGATCCGAAGTGTGTGATGATAAAAGCCTCTTAGCTGCTCGAAAAGCCTGGAACGGTTATTTGGATTCGAGTAATCAGAGGTTAATGAGTTCAGTAAATATGAAGAAGGCCCAGGCAGGATTGTCTGGACGGAATAAAGCCTATTTTCGGAACCCTTCATTTAGGGTAAATTATATAACTGGACCTAGAGTAGATTCTAGGATAAGTGATGGTGGTACTGTAAAGGCTAAGAAGCCTAGGAGACAACATGATGCTACTATTATTAAGAAGCCTAAACCTCATTCTCTTTCGGATGCTATGACTAGCAATGGAAATAGTAGCCATCAGAACCTTAGTAGTGACAGCGATAATAAGGAGACAGAAAGTGTCAGCAGTCCACTTATAGTGACTAGTCGATCAACTTCATCGAATGAGCCTCCTAGTGTTTCGACGTCATCGGACCTCGTCACGAATGTTAAGTTGATTGAAGATGCACAAGGTTGTGCAACTGTAACTGTTCCTATTCCGGTTGACTGTCAGTCGAGTGATGATGAGAAGAAAGTGTTTGATGGTAACAGCCAGTCTACAGTGTTGTGTGATGACGATGCTATTGATGAGCATATGTCTTGTGTCTCTGAAACGGAACATGAAGAACAACAAGTGAGTATATCAGTTTCGAATTGCGATACTAATGCTGTTCTTTCATGTAGTGATATGAGTTATACAAAAATGGAAGAGTTCCACTCTACGGATGCTAGTGCAGACCGAATCGACGCGACTTGTCTGACAGAACGGAATCATGATGACGTTGATAATAATCTGGATGTCACTGATGTGACAAATGAGTTGTCGACGATGACGAATGCTGATCAAACCTCCTCTGTATCAGGAGATGGAGAGATAAATATTGATCCCACGTTATGCTACTTAAAGTCTTCTGGAGACGATGAAATGTCAAAATTGGAGATCCCACCCTTGCATATTATCTATGGGTCAAGAATTTCTGTTGATAAGTCAGCATCACGGACTTCATTGTATCTGCTGATCGGAGCAAGTGGTGGTGGATTGGCGACTCGTCCCCATGATAGGGAATGTAGTTCCCGGATAGGATATGACCAGTTTTACGACGTGTTGTACATGTTCGTGTGGGTTAATTGGGTAAGGTTTATACTACCGTTAGGTCATGCTACGATAGATAGGGGAATCAAGGGCCTGATGGGAAGGTATAGGTACCTAGTTAGCTTGATAGGTCATATCCATGTTGGATGGCGGGTAGGCGTACTGCTGTAAGTCCTACACGTTCTTCCGGTGTGGATTAGGGGATGAGTGGGAACCCTAAATAGAAGTGTCATTAACGCTTGCTCTTTTTGCATGGAGGGATTTTGCGGGCCGGTGTAGAATCCTTTTTGAATGTTTTGTTTTTTGGAAAATCCCTCCATGATTACATATTTTTGTTATGACATGACGGACTTTTTCTGTTGACATTTTTGGTATTTTATTTGATTCCAATTTGAGATTTTATCATTGTATATTGTTATTCTTTCTATATTTTGTACTTATATTGAAGTTTTTGTGTTTGCTTCTGATTGTATATATGTTGTTTAAATTTGACCTTTAATATGGCTACAGCCATATTTGGATTGATGCAGTGGCCGCTGGACTTAGCGTCACTTATCTATCGCTGTTTCTGATACTCTTCGGAGTAATTGTATCCTGGAAGGAGCATTAATTCCAGGTAATGCTTTGTATTTCCATGTCTATATTAAATAAGACCGCTTTCTCCTAGAATTTTTGTCCTTTTTGATTTGTTTGGACCTGGGATTGGGAGAAACGAGTACAGGAGTGCACCTATTGGAACCCATTGGAACGGCCACTGTAGAATTTCATTTACAGAGGTTAATCTATGCAGATGATGCAAAGATCTGGATGTCCATAAGAAATAAAGAGGATTCATTTAAGCTTCAAATGTTGTATGTTAGGGTTCCAGAGAGAAATAATTAGACCTAGTGGAATGTTGGGTTTGCATAGCTTCTGCCTACTGTACCTATATAAGCATCTGTCGACAAGTAGTTCCAATGTACACAAATCCAATAGAAACATCAAGCACCCAAATCTCAAGGACTGTGAACAAGCTTGCCAGGTTTAAGACCAATAACAACAAATCAAAATCGAGGTCGACAGTAGAAGCTACGAGCCATACGTGGAAACATTCGAATACTTCACATCTATCTTAAGTTTCAGCTGATACTGTTGTTCAAAAGAACAATGAAATCTCCACAACCAAAACGCCCATTTTATAGAGCAACAACCCATCACAAAATATTAACTAATAAAACCTTCGGAAAGGAAAATGCATCATCATCATCATCATCAAAATACTTAACACGAAGATCAATATCGGTCAAACAATCTATAAGCATTTTTATGGCTGCTGCAGATCCCAAATCAAGTTTAATAGTAAAATCAGTCTTTTGTACTTCTAAAACAGTTACGAATCAGAACAAGTATTTAAATCCATGAGCCGCCTCAGAATCAGACTTGAGGTGGTACCCTAGTATGGATGGTCGTATGTACTTTTAGACTTCTGTTAGTTTCCGTCTAGCCTTAAGGTACCTTGTGTGCTCAGAGCACGTGAGAAGCAGCGTCTGAGGTTATCTGGAAGAGGAAAGCACCAGAGAGAAGGGGAACCGACGTCTCAGTAAGCACTTAGAATGCACATACATTTAGTGGAGATAGCAGTCGTCAACAACCAGAAATAACCACAACATGAGATTAATACAAACCAGTAATCAAAACCATAAGTTGATGGAGCAAGACCTTGATTGCCTTACTTGGGTTCTCTCAGAATTGTGTAGGAATGGTATGACCTAACTTACATTAAAGTCACAACTCGTGGTCAGCACCTAGCGAGGATTACCCGTTTTGTGTTATCTAGGTATAATGGCTACTCTGATAATTTCATGGGTTATTAAAGCTATTTGCTGATTAAGGATCAATGACACCGTATTCGCCCCAGAACCTGTATTACTTTCGTTGTTTGATATAGTTTTAAGGCCGACATATTGAATTTGTTTTTAAAACCACTAAGATAACTGTTGTGAACGATGTTTTAAACAGGATATTTACTAGCTAAAAGCTACAGATAGGTTCAAATTTTACAATGGGCGTTTAATCCAAAACGTAAATTTTATCTTGCTGTAGTCCCATTGGACAGTCTTGCTGGTTGTCTTTGTTTATCCGCATCAGTGACTGTTAGTAGAATTCTGGAATTGCTAGCGGAATGACTGAGGGTACTGCACAAGTTTCCGAAACACAGCAACAAGCTGGCAAGGTGTGCCCGGAAGGATTTATAGATTTAAGCCCAAATGGTGACTGTGGCATACTCAAAAAAGTGTTGCGAGAAGGGTTTTCTGATGTCAAGCCATGTGATGGCGATACAGTAATTGTACATTATGTCGGGACCAACGTTGGTGGAAAAGAAGACGGTAAAATTTTCGACTCAAGCAGAGCACGAAATGAGAAGTTTGAATTCACAATCGGGAATGGTAAGTGCATAGTCGCTTGTGTTACTTCTTTAGGTAGTGTAATCAAGGCTTGGGATATCGGTGTTGCTACAATGAAACTTGGAGAACTTTGTGAACTCATTGCGTCTCCTGATTATGCCTACAAGGACGGAAAGACTCTTAAGTTTGAGGTGGAGCTCTTTGAAACCTTGGGTAGTGTTGCCTTCACCATTCATCGAGTACATTAGGTTCTGATGTCAGCAGAAACAAGGATGGAAGTATTCGCAAATCTGTTATTAGGAAAGGGAGGGATATTTATAATCCTGTTGCTGGCAGCGAGGCTACAATTATCTTCCGCAATTTAAAAGACTCGACGGAGAATGTGGAAGTTACGTATTGCGTCGGGGATCCCCCATCAAGTGTGCCAGAAGAGTTGGACTTGTGTATTCGCCATATGAATACAGATGAATTCTGTCGTGTGGTGATCCACAAAGATAAAAACATGGCAGCTGAGGGTGCTGATAAAAATCGTGTGGTTTATGAGCTAACGTTAAAGTCTTTTGAAAAGGTAATCAGTGATTTATGTATTGTTATGAAAGACCAAACATCTCTCAGGTATCTCATCATTTCCAGAGCAGATGGCTTATGCAAATGTACTAAAAGAAAAAGCTAACAATTTTCTTAAGGTTTGTTATCATTTGTTCCTTATGTCAGGACTCTAAATTCGATGCAGCTATCGAACTGTACAAACGTTTGGATGATGAGCTACAGTACATTGTAGCTAATGGTCCTGCAGAGCAAAAAGAATTATCCGCAGTTACTGTAGCCGTCCAACTTAATTTAGCGTTGACTTACTTAAAGCTGTGCAAATCAGATAAATGTATTGAATTTTGTAAAAAAGTACTGGACGTTTTTAGCGACAACGAAAAGGCGCTGTTTAGGATAGGTCAGGTAAGTTAAGTAAACAAATTCATGCTTGTAGGCGCATCTACTACGTAAGGATCACGAGGAGGCCGCTATTTACTTCAAAAAAATTGTAGCTAGAAATCCCAACAATGCTGCTGCTGTCAAGCAGTTGCATATGTGTGAAGAGGAGATCAAAAAGGCTAAAGATATGGAACGGCGAAAGTTCCGAAGTGTTTTTGAGCGTTGTAAAGACGTAAGTTAGAATTGCCTGTAATTAATCTTGTAGACGGGGTTAAATGATACTCAGAAGCTCGAAAACGGGGTTGCGTTAGATGACGAGAAGTCTGCACTGTAAATGTGTGTTCCTAAACCAGTAACCCGTGATTTTGTAAATGTTTCCAATAACCGCTACCAATTTTGAACTTTTTTAATAAATCATTAAGCTTAAATTTGTGTTCTCTGGTTGTTAGCAGCTAAAGTGCTGACACCAAAAATCCTAATTGTTGCCGCTCTACTTGCTCTTGTTCACTTGGAATAATATCTCGAGTTGTGGAAACAACAGTGATATCTACCTGTAAGTTAAGCCAAAAGTCTATTGACAGTAAGTGAATCTCAGTTGCATCCTACTGAATTGATAAATGCTCGGGAACTAATTCTCTCTGGCTCCGAATATGATGAGCAGCTGAGGCGCAGGTTGATTGTGGGCAATGGTGGGTGGCGAAAGTAATAGTGGTAGAGTAGGCCGCGATGATAGATAACGGTTGACAGCTGTTCCGATTTATCAAGGAAACTGGTAATGGGGATTCATATGTTAGCAAAGCTATCTTAGGAGGGAATGGTCATCCTCAATTCCAGGGGTTAGGTAAATGGGTAGGACACTAGAGATTATTTCAACTGGCCTTCAGCCACACTTCGGTTACCCACCATCCGCAGTCAACCTGAATGTTGATTAGTCCTGCAACGCTTTATGAAGTTGAGGAAACTAGGAAATCTGAAGTGAGAAATCAGCAGGCCGTGACAGTCTTACCCCTGAGATTTTTAAGGATGGCGGTCCAGTTTTAATAGATTGATTGGGATCCTAGGCAGAAATTGGTAAGTGGGTGTAATCCCTGATTGTCCCAATTTCTGGGAAAGGGCGAAAGTTCTTTGAAAATCATAGAGAAATCAGTTTAACCAATGTGGCGTCTAAAATATTAACCTCGATAATACTTAACTTTATACACGCTCTCTACTCGGGCACTACCGACCGAGTGAGAGCTTATAGCGAACCGTCGCCCGGATTGGTTGCTTCGAGTGGTTTCCGTCAGGTGTGTTCACTTCCTCTGTCTGGTTTAACTCTGTCGTTGACGTGCTTTTAGATACGATACTTACATCATCTGACTTTCAGGAGTGGACCTTCTACCAGGAGACTCCCTTCTTGTCTTAGAATATGCCGATAACGTAGTTGTGCTTGGTGAAGACGCTGACAAAATGCAGTCTTCTGACTACCCTAAGCAACAATGCAAGCATGCTCGGAAGCGATTCTCCTCCCAGAAATGCAAAATTTTGCTTCAGGATTGGCTTGCATCCGCGACTGGACTAGTGATAGCGAGCGAAGCAATTAATCGTGTTGACCGCTTCACTTATCTCGGAAGTCTCGTTGGTGCTGATGTCCTGGTGGATGACAAAATCTCAGCACGGATACAGACATGTCGATTTACTTTTGCCAACTTGCGTCATTTACGGCGTAAGCGAGATATCCGTTTGCTGACTAAAGGACGAGTGCACTACGCAGTAGTTCGCTCCGTCCTCCTGTATGGCTGTGAAACATGGCCAGTTAGGGTAGAGGATGTTCGTAGTTTACTGATTTGGGATCATAAATGTCTCCGATGCATTGCTCGTTGATCTTGGGACAACTGAAGTAATCAATGCTGTCGTTTGGACACGGGTATTAACTAAGGATGGCAGATCAATAGGTGAAGTTTTGAAACTTCAGTTTAGGTGGTTGGAACACATGTTGCGTATGCCTAATCAATGACTGCATCATCGAGCCATGTTCTGTGATGTAGGGATAGGTTGGGAAAAAACCAGGGGCGGTCAGATTAATACAAGGCACGAATTCATGCAATCATTGACAAGTGGACTGAACCATGTCAGTAGATGTACACTACCTGGTTAGGGTCCGCGAGGCGAAAGTAACGGATGGTTATAGACTTTGAATGAAATGATGCAAAGTCGTTCACAACGGCACAGGTGCTTCCACTCTTTGTCTTCTCTCAAATTCCAGCCTTCTAAATTCCTCATCATCTTTGTCTTTCTCTTTCTAAATTTATCTTGCTGAATTATACTTCTCAAATCATTTATTCGAACCCTAATCTTTTCCATTACCGCTAATGCTTCTATTACATCTGCCGCTGTGTGATTTGAATTGATAATTGCATCTCTATGCTAATGTGCTATAGCAACTTGAACTGATGCATGTACGTACCAAGTTGTAAGTTGTAGCTCACCAATTGAATCCTGATTCACAACTGCTGCGTCCTCAACAAAACCTGTTATCTAGAAACGCTTATAAAGTTATAGCTATGCCACTTCCTTAGGGTACCTATGTTATGTTTGCACTGCCCCGTAAAAACAATTCTGTGCTTATAAGAATGGTGATTTTTTGCATTGTATGCTCCAAAATATTGTGATCCATGATCAAGCGTTCCGCCTGCTTCACATTAGTACAATCTTCGCAACAAAGTTTCATTTGGTACAGTTTATCAGACACATCTCAAATAATGTACCGTTATTTCCACAAAAAACAACTGCATTCATTATTTTAAACAATTTGATTATGCCTACTTGTTAGTGTACATGCAGTAAATATATTTTTAGGTTGTGTATTATTATTATGATTATTATCATCTAATTTTTACACGATTGTGTGTATATGTCAGCATGATTTTGTTATTTAGTTCTACTACTTACTAACCATATGTTAAGTAGTGTTTTTTCACAAATATAATTTCGTTACTTTATAAACTTTGATGTCCGGCAAAAAAAAATTTCTCAAACTTTGCCTACATTCCCCGTATTTGTTTATAAACACATAGTTACGAAAATCAATTTATCGAAAAGATCTTCACTGTAATAATTTTTTTTTAAATATTTGTAGTAATCATAATTTGATGAAAGTCGGACGATGATGACATCCATTGAGTAATGGAGAATTAAGAGAATTAGGTAAACTGCTATCAAAACTGTCTTGACGTGCCACGTATTCAAAAAAAAATGCTTTTCGGGCTATTTTTGTTTTTCACTCTGTTGAATAGTTTCATAACAGGGTTTTCATTGTTTTAATATTCAACAGAGTTTCCTTCAAATACATCTTAATTGTTGCATTAATGGTAGACTAATCCATTCTGATGACCTGATTTATGACCAGTTGACATTGATAGGCTGTTTAGTGATCGCATGTATTTTTCGTCCTATTGACTGTTTTGTTTGGTCAGCCATTGACTATATAACTTTTAGCAGCTTCTCAATTGTAACGCTCACATGATTTACGTTGTATTTGCGATAGAGAAATTTATTTGTACGTTCTAGTTATTTATGTGTTTTTATTTCATGTTCGTTCTTGTCAAATATTCTCACATTAACCATGAGCGTTTTTCTTACATGCTTTATGTGTGTATGTGTCGGTATCTATAATCTAATTGATAGTTTTTATACAGACTATATATATTCTCTTGAAAAATAATGTGTTGGCTAGTCTGCCAACTTTGTGCTGCGTTCACTTGACCTTGGCTTAAAGAACTAACTATCTGCTTATAATTGGATGCATAATTTACCACTTAACATAAGTGCAATGGTTTTAGTTACAATAGACATATGTATCACATACAAGCAAGATTAACTTGCGGAAATCTAACAAGGACTACTAGTACAAGTGTACAGAATAGCTGAAGGGATTTTTTTTTGACGGAGAAACTGTTACAAAACTTCATATCATCAATTGATTCAACCTAATTTAATATCAACTTGTGTGTTGGTATCGTATATGTAAAAAGTGTATTTGAGCTTTAATTTAAAGTCAGTCAGATGCAACGTAGAACTTCGTACGTAAGTACATCAGTTCATGTCGCCATACCACATTAGCCAAAAGATGCAATTGTCAATTCAAATCCAATAGTAGAAGAGGTAGTAAAAGTATTAGAAGTAATCGGAGAGGTTAGCATTAGAAGATATTATTCAAGAACTATGATTCAGTGAGAAAAGTTTAGAAAAACAAAACTAGAGGTGTTGAAGAATCCAGAAGATTAGGATTTGAGAGAACACAAAGAATGAATGCACCGGCGCCATTGCGAACGATTTTGAGCCATATCATTCAGGGTCTCTAACTGTCGATTATTATCATCTCGCGGACCCCAACCAGGTAGTCGACAACTACCGACATGGCTAAGTCCACTCGTCAATGACTTCATACATTTCTGCCGTGTTTTGGTTTGGTCGCCCCTAGCGCTGTAATTTAAAACCGACAATTAGTAATTAAGTTGATTGATAATAAATGTAATTCATGGTATTTTCTATAGATCTAACACTATTGATCAAAATACTAACCAATAGACATCAATACTTACGAATACAAAAAATCACGTGATGCGAAGCGTTCAGAAGTGTAACTGTTAATCACACTAGATGAAGAAGAGTAGATATGAAGAAATAGTACAGTTCATTGTAGTGATTGATGCATAGACAACACTATCAAATACTGATATGGTGTTGAGAATAATTAGGTTTCATGATTTATGCGATATTTATTAATTCTCAAGTCATATTCATTACTAATTGATCACATTTGTGGTACTATTAAAAACTAGAAATCACTGGGCAAATGTTTCATCCTCGTGTGTGACTGTTAAACGATGCGCACCCAGTACTTTATCACGGATTAAATTCATACCTTTTAAATCATCAGGCAAACGCTTAATCCTTAGGACCAATGAACTGAAATAGTTCGAGCTCTGATACATCTAAAATGTCATTCAAAAGTCAACTAATGTCATCGGAGATACATTTTTCTCTCCAAACATGTTTGAGGTTGGATATGTACCACTGCACACCAGCCTAACGGTTAAGAGCCAGAGTTCAACTATTAGCTGCAAGTAGACAATACTGAGGACTCTTATAATAGAAAAAAAAGACAATTGTTCGATGATTCTTCGTTTTTTATGGCACCATAAATGAAATCAATCAGTAACGAATTCTATCTACAAGTTCAAATAATCTACACAAAACTCCTTCAAATACTTGTAACTGTTTATTTTGTACTGAATACTTTCTACACAAGTATGTAGTAAAATATCTGGAACTCCAAACAACTTTCAACCAAAACCAAAATCAGGATTTTCAATACAAATGTCAAGACAGTTCTACTGTATGGAGCGGAAACATGGAGAACTACGAAAGGCATCATCCAGAAGATACAAGTGTTTATTAACAGTTGTCTACGCAAAATACTTCGTATTCGTTGGCCAGACATGATCAGCAACAACCTACTATGGAAGAGGATGAACCAGATTGCAGTGGAGGAGAAAATCAAGAAGAAGCGTTGGAAGTGGATAGGACACACACTACGAAAAGCACCGAACTGCGTCACAAGACAAGCCCTTACATGGAACCCTCAAGGTTAAAGGGAAAGAGGAAGGCCAAGGAACATATTACGCCGAGAAATAGAGAAAGATATGAGAAGAATGAACAAAAATTGGATAGAATTGGAAAGGGAAGTTGAGGAAAGAGTTGATTGGAGAAAACCGGTGGGCGGCCTATGCTCCATTGGAGGTAACAGGCATAAGTAAGTAAGTAATGTAGTTAAAGGAATCCTAATTTATTAACCAATCGTTCTGTTTTTTTGACATTGATTCAGTGGAGTTTTACGTAGATTAATTCAAATTATGTGAACAGTAATTATTTGGTCACATTAATCATATATCAAGCGATCGATCAGAATTATAAAAAAAAATTGACAGTATTTTACTCATAATAACAAACGGTAGTTGGTATTAGTATAGTAAAATCATATTTTTTCTTCGACTAGTGAGTTAAAATCAATTTCTTTCAATCAGCAAAAACTACTTTATTAAAATTCATCGATGTAATACAGAATCTTGATCATACAATAATCTTATGCATTTTTCTTATAAAATAAATGATAAGAATGTGACTGTAGCACTTTGTGATAAACTAAAGAGAAAAAACAGATTCGTGATAAAGAAAGAAAATAAATCAGTATTTTTAAGAAGCTTCTTTAGTAAGTTGTCATGTTCGTCACTAAGTATGCTTGAGGCTAATACGAGTTTACCTCAGTCGATAAACGCGAATGAGACAATGAACCAGCGTCCAGGTAGGCTACCTTGAATCCCAAACTAAGGTAAGAAGGCTTTGTAAGCGTAGAAAGTATATTCTACAAACACCCAGCAATCATTATACAATCAAGCACACAACTCTCGTTTATTTATACATCATAGAAACGTCCTTGGGACAGTTAAGAAAATATCACACTAAAATACACAACAGCCAATGACAGCCGTGGATTTTCCTGGTGGGAAATGAACTCTCAAGGTCAACTGATCAGCCCATGCTGGCAAACGTGAAATCGATAATAAGGCATTTGTCAAGCGAGTTCTGGGGATCTAACATCCCCAACATAAGTCTAACTCGTAAATAATAAAGCTAATTCAATAAAAATAGACGACTTAATATAGTAGAAAGACTAATCAGACGAGATATTAAATGAGATATTTTTTATCTGGAAAACATCAGCAACAGATCAAACTTGAATAGATTGAAAAAGTTTCATAATTAATGAAAGTGTGGAGAATGTCCTCATTTCTGTAACATATATATATATATTGTGTAATCCTAGGGCAATAAAATATAGAATATTCTGGTAATAAGTTCATGAATCCTCGGTTAAAATAATAGCTCACTGTGTTTGCGAAGGTTGTCAGTTGTACGTCAACATCAGTGAAATAACTTCTCATACTTCAATACTTCTAAGAGTTTATTTGATTTAAGATAGAGGACAACAGATAGAAGCATAATGAAATCTACTCATTTAAATGAACTGTATAAAATTGTTAAAAGGAACTTCAAAATTTATAATAATAATATGGTGTCTATTGATTACAAATACAGAAATTGATTTAATTTCGAAAAATTGGGAGAAGACTTCGGAAGTCTCAACCCAATCACTGAATTGTATTTACATGGATTCGATTAGGATTTCCTGGGGAAGGTAATATGATTAGCAAAACCTTGGACATAACCATCAGGCTTTAATTTCGTTGGTTAAAATGAATGACTTCGGAAACCAGTGCCTAACAATAATTAAGTTTGCAAACAAATTTTAATCATGTTTATTTAGTGTAAAATATTTTACATTTGACTGGATAATTTTATTATCTAAGGTCATTCATATTTTGAAGACCAGTCATTATATCTTGTGATGGCCGATCACCAGAAGCTCTTGAGTTCGTAATCTTGATTTGTTAATAGTCATCATCAGACCAGTACTGTCAGATTCAGCTGAATATCGAACATAGTCACACACACACACCTTTAATCAGCTATAACAACTATGGTTCGAAAAAATGAATGACATCTAATAAAGAAAGATATGGATTAATAATTAACTAGATACGGAAGTGTCCATTCTGAAAAATGATTGGATATAATATAAACTACTGAATATTATTAAATAGTATAGGAAAGTATACTAAACGACAAAGCAAAGAATAAAGGTGTGAAGACACTGATTAGATGTTATTAGTAATTCTTAAAATAAAATTACATAACATATATGTCAATAAAATTGGAGATATTATTAAAGCGAACAGGTATTGTTTATGGTCTTTCGCTACAGAGGTGCTTCTTATAAATAGGTGTCAAAGCTATGGAAATACCAATCAGCAAAAATTATTTTGATCTTTTGATCAGATTAATGAGCATAAAATGAATTTTAATTGTCATTTAAAAACTAAAGAAAAATAAACATTTGAAGATGTTGACGAACCTATTCACTGTGTGACTGAAAATGTTAGTTTTTTTAATAACCAAAGGATCACTATCGTAGCTACTTATTTGAGATGGTTGTTGGACTATAATCTATTGCGATGACCTAGTCGACGTGGAATACTTGTTCATTCGGTTTTTTTGTGTGTGTTCGATCTGTTTGTTGAAGAATGATAACGTTCAAAGTTCTAGGACTAAGTCAGACTTATAGATTTCTGTTTAGTATGGAAATAATTTATTTTTATCACCGATCAGCAGTAATTTGAGGTCATTTTCCAGAAAAAAAAACAATGAAATTATTGATTAATTCATCGTCTACAGTTCGAAGTCACTGAATAACGGGTCTGGTGAGTGAATGATTTCATTTTCGTTTTTGGTGAATAGGAGTTCTTGTTTGCATAAAAGTATGATGTCGTAGGTGTACATTTGAAGGAAGTCGTGCAAATTTTAGTACATACATACACACTACTGTCCTTTATTGTTTGTTTCACAGATATATATTAATCATAATCAACTCCAAATTCGTTACTTTTCAATTTTCGAATCCGGATATATGTAATTTTATCAATGTATGGCACTGACTAACGAGGTCATCATTATTGTCTATGCTGTTGTACATCAGCTAGTACTAAACACCAGTCACCAATGCATAGATGCTAATCCCCCCGAAAGTTTTATTGAAGCATCTTTTGTTTTTATACACTGCATGTGAATTTATTAATGATGATAAGATAATTTTCTCATAAATTAAGTCCAGTTATGTTGGTCAAATAATTCTGCATTTATGGTTGTATTGATTAGAAGTAAGGCTTATCAATTTGAACGACCAGTCGAATGTGTTGTGAAATAAAACTCTCCTTTGATTTCCGTATATCATACTTTGGCGAACCCCCTTTGTGTGACGGTGGTAATTAGAAGCCAAATGCGGATTCGGTTGTATGAATTTATTTCAAACAATCGTTCATACATTCATTTAAGCAGAGCGAAGCGAAGTGGAGGAGGCGATCGAACCAACCCCATGCGATGAAGCATGACTAATCATTTACAATCAGACGAAAGTAAGCCAGACATGTAATAGGAGAAGAAAGTGGTGCACACATATACTCGAACAGAACCGATGAAGATAAAAATGAATAGCTGGCATGCTCGGCGGACGTGTAAATAATAACTTGGATAGAATGGATTAATTCAATTGTCTGAAGGCTTAGGATAAGCTCTCTGGGCCGGGAATAAAAGCACATACCCACTACAAATTATTGTCTACTTCTCATTCATTTTGTGTATGTGTATCAAGTTCAATCGATTTAATGGTCAGTAAGACATTGTGAAAAGAGAGTCGGACGTAAGTCTTCAAGCTGATAAATCTTTTTTCCATTGCGACTTACATTTTGTGTATTACATCATTCTACTTATTAATATTCAGTAGTGTGTATTATTTTAAATCATCTTTACAATCCATAATTTATCATGGCACCAAGTTTGTTGTCATATGCTTGCGTTATTTCTATATTTTATTTCGTTCTCCCGATTGCAGTGGTATTTTTATCCTCTCTTATTACTTCTTGAAACTTTATATTCAGTAGCTTACCTTGTTAGGATACAGAGCTTCACTGATTTTCGCTGATTGCTATTGCATCGATGGTTTTGAAGGTTTTCATTGTTTAAATTATTTCAGTTTTCAGACATTACTCGTTTCGTAATTTCCCAGTTCAATTGTTAGGTTACTGTGATAAAATGCATTCTGTCTAAATTCTACCGTCAAAACGTGTTTAGGAAGTCCCGAAATATCTCATGTCTAAGTCTCTAGCGACCCAGAAACTTTAGTGAACGTTTTGGCTAATCACCGCTGAATAGAAGCTGCTTAGAGACACCTAGAAAATGCAAATTCACGCATCACAGTCTTGATTGAATATTTACTGATACTATATGTATATATGCTATTTTTGGAATGGTTCCAGAAGTCTCCAGAGTCCAAGTGTCTTGTGTAAATCTACATATGCCCTCGTTTTTTTTGTTCATGAACAAACTTTGTTATAAAGCATTTATTTACAATTCACTTCATTTCTCCAGTGTTCCAAATGACATGTAAAAGTACTGGAGATTATAAGAACAAACTCAAAAAACACAGTCTATATATATATATATATCAGTAGTAAGAATTAGCAAGAAAAAAAAAATGTTCTCATCAAATCAAAAATCAAAAGAATCAAATCAATGTACAATTTCATTTTTAATTTAAACAATAAATTAAGCATATTATGATTGATTTTTATAAAAATTCATAACCTAGTAGAATAATGATTAGTAAATTTTGAAAGTAACCATTTACAATAATAGACAGAGTTAGTGATGAAGATGAATTAGCTGAGCATATGCTATGTTTGTTATTTGGTGAAATATTTTTCTGTACACTTTGATCATCATTATTATTTAAGTCTGATTTTGATATCAATGATGAATTATCTTTTTGTAATGGAATAAGACTTGAATAATTTGTCAACCAAAATGCATGAAATCGATTCACATATGGATCAGCTGTAATTTTTAGAAGGTAAAGAAAAGAAGAAATAAGTGAATATACCGCTGATTTGTAAAAAAGTAACAGTTAAAAGAACGGTATTATTCATCTGTCATTCAATAATTATTAATACTACATATAGTTTAGTGTATTTGAATGATAAGAAGGTTTTACTCATTTTAAAAATATTGGTTATATATATATGAAAAAAGTACTCATTTCTGTTTTCCTTGAATGTTAGATATTTTCTGGAAAGAATGTAGTAATGTTATTGCGTGGAATGGCTCTTTCAGATCAAACGGGTTATGTGAATTTATTTAGTTTAAAGATGATCTTCTCCATGGTAAGAGCGAAACGTTTAGACCAGTGAGTTAGAATTCAGCGGCTCAGATTCACTATACTTCACGTACGTAACTACCGAAATAAGCAGAGATGGGTGGTGGTTAGCAGTGGTATACAGGTGATAGGTTTCATCTTATTTGGGACTCGTCAGCTGCATGTACCAGAAGTGATGTTTACTTCGGACTCCAGTAAAGTACAGTTCACTTCAAAGGCCATCGCATTATCGATTTATTTACTAAATACTGACAACCATCGACTTTTGTAGTGAGGTGAAGCTTAATTCCTTTTATTGGTCGTTTGATAGTCTCGTTTGACATCCTGTGCTGATTGCCTCAATATTTTATTTAAGTCACAGGGATTCGAAGCAGAGATGGAACGTATCTAGCAGTGGGGTCCATTACGCATGCGTCATCCTATTCAGACCCACCGAGCTGTGAGCTTTTCAGTCATGGGTTCTCAGTGATCAGTGTGTGTTCCCATCCCAGTCCTATTGGAGGTCAGTAGTAGCCCAAACAGATCAGTGGTTACGTTTTCAACTGTAACACTGTGTGAATTAGTTCCTTTAAAATTGCAGATACATCAAGTGCCGACTAACATAAAACCCAGTTCCAGGGTTTTCCGTTGATTACCTCCAAACACCAAACATTTTAATGTCTTATAGTACCTGGATAATTAACAACGATTTTCAAAAATCTCAGTGAATACTAGTATTGTAACTGATGGGTAAGTTATATTTGCTTCCATACCAACACTGAAAATATCAACTAACCAATTACAGCCTACTTACGAAACGAGAAAATAGCGGGAACAGTTATCCATTTTAAAATCCATTTTTAAGTACTATATTCTTACTAGACAAGAGTTCGCTTACATTTTACCTTTACTTTTTAGTCTGGTTAGTTTTTCCCAAGTTTTATTTTAAGTCTTTGAGAAAAGCATCAAAAGGAGAAATAAAAGTAAGCGGAAAAAAAAGCTATTAATACATTACATTTTTTAAATACTTATAGTTTAGACTTGCAAATTTTTAGCAGGCACTTAAACACGTCATTTGATGTTCTTGAACTATTACGAGTTTACCTTGGTTGGAAAACGAGAGCGAGGATCGAGGATCCGGCAACACAACAGGCTACTCTAATTCCGATTTTCCCAAACCCCCCATTGAGTAGAAGAAGAAGACTTGATATGAAGTAGAACCTGTATTATACAGGCATCCAGAAAGTATGAGGTCCGAGTCTAGAAGACAATCAGGATCCCGAACTAGGAATCCGAGTCCGGGTCATAAAGTGTCACAGATAATGCGTATTTATACAGTCAGGACGACCGACAGCAAACAACATTTGAAGTGACATTGATACTTACGGTGACCAATAGAATCAGACTTACAAACAAACATCTTAGGATATTGGATGAATATCCTAACACAAATGATATACAATCCTTAGAAAAAAATCAAATAAACCAAATCTTACCTAGTAATCCAGTGAAGTCTCCGTTCACAATTCCCAATCTCATATTTCTTGACTGGCATATACTAGGTTGAGCTAAGAAAAGAGGAGAAAAGAATTGTTTTGTGAAAAAAATAATATTCATCAATTGATGATATTAAATTTATGAATATGATATTTACGTCATGAATGTGAATATTTTAATTACATCATTAGCATTGTGATCTATCTACTTCTCAATGAATTCACATTTTAACTCTTAGCATAGAACTATAAAGTGTTTGATATAAATAAATGTTTCACCACTAAGAAATAATACCAGGTTAGCTTTCACAACTTTCACAACAATGTTATTAGGTAATTTAAGTTTCAGCAGAGATGTTATACCACATGGGACAGGTACAGATATATAACTAGATCATAGGTGAGTTCTTGAATGCACACACTTTGGAAATTTCAATGTTTTAAGTAATAACTGTCTAGCTTTATCTAATTTCTAATTATTTCTCCAGCTGATATTATTTTGTCAGGAAATTAATCTTCAAATTTAACATATCGATAACGAATCGATTTAAGTCTTTGTGGAAAACACAAACTATGAAAAGGCGTAAATCTTTAGCTGATTAGTCTTAAAGCTCAACCTTAGTTCCTTTTCAAAGCACCCACAGATAATATTTAAATATTTATTTGAAATAGAGTTGAATAGGCTTTTTTTTTTACTGAAAACCAGGAATTATAGTGTGGAGGACTTCGCAGTTGGGTACATTCATGATCTTGGACAGTATTTACCCAAAACTAGTCAGATCTCGAAGGTATGTACGTAACTTTCAGATCAATAAGTCTTATTCTGGTGGCTCATAACTATGATTTCAAATTACTTCATGATCTATTCATAATATATCACTGGTGAATGACTATTTAACTTTTGACATGGTTATATGACACTAATCGTGACTGTCCATTGCCCGGTTTAGGCCTGCGAGATGACAATAATCGACGATTAGAGACCTTAAATGACATGGCTGAAAACCGTTTGCAATGGCGCAGGTGCATTTATTCTTTGTGTTCTCTCAAATCCTAAACTTCTTAATTCCTCATCACAGTTGTCCTTTTCTTTTTAAGTTTATTTCACTTGACTCTACTTCTTGAATAAAATTTACCAAAATTATCACTAGTTTGAAGAAGAAGAGACAAAATATGGCCAACAGTGGAACCAAGGATCAGGCATTTCATCCTATCCGCCATACATCTACCAGCTCGATGCATTTGTATTTCAGAGTTGATATTCACTCCACGACTCAAACACCTGAAAAGGAAGGTAGATTAGTGTTGGTCCTAGAGACCTGAGTGGGTGACCGCAGAGCCCAAGGGACAACTGCCTGAGGCCAGTCACGCACGGCCTTTTTATGAAAGGTTTTTTGAGTATTAGCTCCGCTCTTAAAAGCCCTTAGTGGGCACCCTTACCGCCGGAGACGGAAATCCGTGAGGTAGAGTGGGGTGTTACATTTTTAGGCTCGACCTTTTCTAACCCTTCTTTCCTTGTGAGAAGGCAGCATCGCTGCAGATTCTGGTTGTCCGAGGGAAACACCCTACTGCTGTCACACCCCTCTACAATCAGTAGTTCGACTTCGCCCTCAGACCTTGGGTGGTTGGTTTTAGTCTGATCGTTCTCCAGTCGACCTGCCTGGCATGGTAGAACCTTCAGGAACATAAGTTCCAGCCAATATAGCTCGGCTGGGTCATCACGATAGGCAAACCCGACCACCACGTCAAGGTAGCAGCTACGGTCGGGTAAGTTAAGAAAGAATAGATAGAATGCGACTAAACAGGCGAATCTAGAATGAGCGTATTGTTCTGTTCACAGATCGATAGGCCAACCAAGATTGCTGATCAAAGTATAATCAAAAAGACCAACAACAACAACAACAACAACCGGATAATCCAAGCCATTTCAAACTAAATCAATTCGAATTTTTAGAGGCATAGAATAAATTGAGAGAGACAGAGAGAGAGAGTAAGATTAATCATTTCATTCTCAATGTAATGTATATTTAATTTTGTTTGAAATATTTGATGAACACTTTAGACGAGAATAATAAAAAAAAAGAAAAAGGAGCAGCAGTAGTAGTTTTAATAAATGTCTTTCAATTTTTTGCTTAAAGCGGTAGAAGAAAAGGCTGCATTTCAAAAATTTATCTAATGGGGGATTAAAAAAAAACAACAAATCCTTCAAAACTTATTATTGATGACAAAGCCATAATCTTTCAGTCATAAATAAATGAACATTTAACTAAGTAAATAAATAAACTGATCAAACAACAACAACACCAAGGATTACATATCATTAAATTTAGTAAATAAAAAAAAACATGTTAGACCTTGTGTTATGTAATTAGTTTTACATGGGATACTAGTAAAGCAAAATATTTCTAATTTTTTATTTCATTTTATTATAATTTGATTTTATATATGAGTGAAAGGATTATTGAGTTGTTAAATATATGATTACTAAAACATTGACTTTGTTTAAAGTAATCATTATAGGCAATGATATTATATGGAAAATAAGCTGATTTGTTAAGTATGAATTATTATAAATCTTATTTTTGATATATATATATATATATATATATATATATATATATATATATATATATATATATATGCTATTGTAGAATAAAATTCCACAAATATAGGCTTTTGATATCATGAACCAATCTTAGTTAGACCACCATTAGAAAACTGGAAGCACTAGATGGTCGATTCATCCTGGTAAGGGACCTATTAGCAGCGGAGATTTAAGACTCCAGCTACTAGTCGGATTCCAATTCAGGACATTTGACTTTGCATGACCAGCATCTGGACCACAGGAGTGGCAAAAAAAGGAGAAAATATATATAATTAAATATTCAAAAATCAAGCGAAAACTAAAATGAAGATTAGAAGGAAACTTACTACATGACCAAAAGTGACAAAATGAGTAGAAAGGGTAGAATTACACATCAGCAAATAAGAACAGGTAAAAAGAGACAGAAGAACTGCTAGTCCACTGGAAAAGGTCTGCTGTAAAAATTCAGTCTACTGCTGTAGTTGCAAACGAACAAGGCAGAGAGTATTCATTACTTTATCCCCCTCTAGATCAATTCTACTGTCAATTCTCGTCTCTCACTATCTCTTGAACAATATCTCCTCTGTCTACATGTGTACACAGACATAGATATAGATATAGACTTGCATACATAAATATGCATACTTCATGTAGGCACGTTCATGATCATGTCTGTCGACAGTCGAGTGAGGTGTTGTACAATCGACTGTGGTTGCATTCACACAGCCACATCGTCAGTGACTTGACCACATGGTGATTTCATTTCGATTCTACTGCACTCAACCCACCTGTATCTTTCGGAGTGTTGGTGATTGCTGTGTGTCCAGTTCTCAGTGGTTTGCACGAGTTATTCTTAGATGGTCTCTCTTCAGTGTAGTGGTGTGGATTCACACAGGTGTAACACGAAGCTGACGGCGATGCGGTTTGATGATGCGTTGTGATTGTAGTGAATTGTCATGATGATCGACGGCAGAATAGATCGATGTGAGTGATTGTGGCTGATTATGTAGGTGACTGTGAGTTTGTGTGTCAGCGCACTGAGGATTGTTGTTGATTTGGCGAGTGTGAATCGATTTGCGCATATACAGGAAGGTCTGTTTCACTGTCCGTATAGTCGTAGTTGACGAAAGGACGTTTGTTAGGGTGTCGGTGACCAGTACTGATGCGATGGTTGAGACAGTGATTATTGTTTGATGAGCGACAGTGTGTTAGCGTTGGTGTGTGTGTGTGTGTGTGCGTGTGTGTATGCTTCTGTCTGTGTGGTGTGAGTCGATGTGTAGGGTTGATGTGAGGTGAGACGATGGGTCGGAGATCGTGGGCTCCGTGGCCTAATGGATAAGGCATCTGACTTCGGATCAGAAGACTGCGGGTTCGAGTCCCGTCGGGGTCGGCTTTTAGTCCCACCATCCTGGCCACCACTAAGCCCACACTCCACCAACGACCACCACTGCCAAACACCTCTCTCCACCCACTCACTGCACAACCACAACATTCGCCCGACACACACGCTACACTCCGTGACCGACACGTGGTGGGCGTCTCGGGTGTCGTTCGTCCACACTCTGACGACCGTCGTCTCGGTCGAGCACCAACTGTTGTCAAGGCAAGCTCGCTCTCATGCATAATTTCATACACACTAACACACACATCATGTGACACCTCTTCACCGGTCAATCTTCATTGTGATATTTCGTCGGAAGTCGCGTCGCCACTTGTCGAGATAATGTGTCATCGACTTCATATCCACTGGGTAGTTCGAGTTAAGAGCTATGGATTCGGTTGATCTGTGTGGAGTGCGGGTCGTCACCAAGTCGATATGGTTGACCGAAGCTCAACCATGAAGTTGTTGTGAGATTCGGGTGCTCCGGCGTGACCGAACCGTCTCGGATACTCATCCACAGTACACTTGTTTGTCCACTGCAATCGGTGAGCTGTACAATTCAATCGACTGGTGTAGTTGCAAACGCAGTGGGCAGAGCACCGTCCTCTCTCTCACTCTCTCTGCCTTTTTCTCCCTCTTCCCCTCTCATTCTTCATCTCTCACTATCTCTTGAACAATATCTCCTCTGTCTACATGTGTACACAGACATAGATATAGATATAGACTTGCATACATAAATATGCATACTTCATGTAGGCACGTTCATGATCATGTCTGTCGACAGTCGAGTGAGGTGTTGTACAATCGACTGTGGTTGCATTCACACAGCCACATCGTCAGTGACTTGACCACATGGTGATTTCATTTCGATTCTACTGCACTCAACCCACCTGTATCTTTCGGAGTGTTGGTGATTGCTGTGTGTCCAGTTCTCAGTGGTTTGCACGAGTTATTCTTAGATGGTCTCTCTTCAGTGTAGTGGTGTGGATTCACACAGGTGTAACACGAAGCTGACGGCGATGCGGTTTGATGATGCGTTGTGATTGTAGTGAATTGTCATGATGATCGACGGCAGAATAGATCGATGTGAGTGATTGTGGCTGATTA